AGATGCTTAATATGATTTCAATCTTCTTAAATTTGAAGAGACTTTGCTTGTGTGCCAATATGTGGTCTATCTTTGAAAATGTCCCATGTACACTTGAGAAGAATGTATATTCTGTAGCTTTGGGGTGAAATGTTCTGAAGATGTCATTTAAGTCCATCTGATTTAGTGAGTCGTTTAGAATTGCTGGGCGGGGGGGTGGGATTTGGTGTTTTTTTTTTTTTTTTTTTTTTTTTTTTTTTTGCTGATTTTTTTGTCTAAAGGATCTATCCAGTGATGTTAATAGGGTATTAAAATCCTCTACTATGCTTGTATTGCTGTCACTCTCTCCCTTGATACCTTCCATAAGTTTTTTGTTTGTTTGTTTGTTTTTGTTTTTAATGTATTTAGGTGTTCCTGCATTGGGTGCATATATGTTTACCAGAGTTATATTTTCTTGTATTGATCCCTTTAGTATTATGAAGTGGCCTTCCTTATCTCTTGTTATGGCCTTCACTTTATGTTTAAGGTTATTATTGACTAGAGGCTTGGTGCATGGAATTCGTATACAGGAGTGTGTGTCTGTCAGCCTAGCCTGCAACCTCTCCAATCTGGGACCCCTACTAGTATTGGGCCTAAATGGACAGTCGGACATCCTTCTCACAATCCAGGACTGCTGGCTCCTACCTGCTTGCCTGCCTGTCTGGTCAGCCCTAACTGTCCTCCCCTGCAGGCCTGGTCCCCCCAAACTTCTCTCCCCTGCAGGCCTGGTCCCCCCCAACTTCTCTCCCCTGCAAGCCTGGGTCCCCCGCAACTGATCTTTCCTGCAGGTCTGGTCGTTCCAACTTCCCTCCTCTGCCAGCATGGTCACCCCTAACTGCCCTGCCCTGCAAGTTTGATTACCTCCAACCTTCCTTGCAGACCTGTTCCCTCCCAACTGCCCTCCTTTGCTGGCTATCTTGTAGCAGCCATCTCGTGTCCATATGGGAGCAGCCATCTTTGACCACATGGGGGCAGCCATCTTGTGTGTTGGAGTGATAGTCAATTTGCATATTACTCTTTTATTAGATAGGATAGGTAGGTACTTGCTTGTAGCCATTTTTATTTTTTATGCCTGTGTTCCTTCTTCCCTCCCTATTTATTATTTTTAAAACAGTCCCTTTAGTATTTCCTGCATTGCTGGCTTGGTAGTGATAAACTCCCTTAGCTTTTTTTTTTGTAGTCTGCAAAGCTTCTGATTTCCCTTTTAGTTTGAATGATAGCCTTGCTGGATAGAGTATTCTTGTATTCAGTTCCTTGTTTTGCATCACTTTGTATATTTCATCCCATTCCCTTCTGGCCTGATGTATTTCTGTTGAGAAATCACTTGATAATCTAATGGGAGATTATTCGTAGATAACTCTCTGTCTCTCTCTTGCAGCCTTTAAGATTATTTCTTTGTTATTAATATTTGCCATTGTAATTATGATGTGTCTTGGTGTAGGTCTTTTTTGATTCATCTTGTTTGGGACTCTGTGCTTGCGGGACTTTTCCCCAAATCAGGGAAGTTTTCTGTCATTTCTTCAAATAGGTTTTTTAATTCTTGCTTTTCTTCTTGTCCTTCTGGCACCCCTATTATATGTATTTTACTTCATTTCATGTCATTCCAAAGCTCCCTTAGGCTCTCCTCCTGGTTTCTAATTTTTCCCCCCTCCAATCGTTGTTCAGATTGGGTGTGTTTTTCTGCCCTATCTTTTAGCTCACTAATTCGGTCCTCTGCTTCTTCTACTCTGCTGTTGAAACCTTCCATTGTGTTTTTTATTATAGCTATATCATTTTTATTTCCTCTTGATTCTTACATAAGTTGTTGATTTTTCTCATCCATCCAGTTTATGAACTGTATGACTCTTACTATGAATTCTTTTTCTGACATATTGCATGCCTCTATTTGATTTAATTTCTTTTCTAGCAATTCCTCCTTTTCTTTTCTTGGGGATTGTTGCTTTGTCTTCCCATTTTTCTGTCTCTTTCTGGTTCTGGGAACTCTGTTTGAGGTTTGAAAGGTTAAAGATCCTATCAGGGCAATGGCCTGGAAATATTTAGCCCAGAGGCTGGGTCTTCCTTGATTCTTATGCCTTTATTGTCTCTGTTACTAGTTGGATCCCCTTCTCCCACGGATCTGGCCCCTCAGTTGTCTCTTTAAGATACTGGGGGTGGTAAGAGCACATGCACAGTTCCTCAGGTGTGCAACTTCCTTTAAGGACCCAGAACCCTCTTTCATGCAATTTGCTATGTGGCCATGGCACCCATGGCAGGGTGGCACCGTAGGTCCTTCTGGCAGTGCACTTGCAGTTTGGTTCTGTGGCCCCTGGCTGGAGCTTGCTTGCTATGGCCTGGAGTGAGACATATGCTGGGTTGCTCTGGGTAGCCTCTGCAGGACTGTCCCAGGGGATAGGAAGAAGTGAGTGTGGGTTGCCCTGGGTTGCACAGTCAGAGCTCCCCTGTCACCTTAACTGGGGCATACTCTGGGTTGCTCTGGGTCTCCCTGACAGCAGGTCCTAGGGTTGGGGGTAGAATGGGTGCCAGGTGGCTTGAGGCCAGGCTAACAGGATGGTTCTTGGGTCTGGGGTGGGGAGTGGGGTACAGGGTCCCCTCTGGCTTGCACTCATTATGGGGTCTTGGAGCCAGATCCTATGGTGCTGGGTCCAAGCAGATGGTGAGGAGGCCTGGTGCGGGAGTACACTCTGATGACAGGTGCTACCTGTGGATGTCTGGGAGCCTGCTGGGAGGTACTGAACCACTCACTGCTGGGTCATGATGGTGGTTCCATGTAGATTATGGTTGAAAAGTGGCGTTCTTTAGGCGTCCACTGCCCTTCCTTATGAAATTGTTTCCTCAGTCCTGTCTAATTTGTTAATTCATGGTGGATATTCTCTGATTTAGTTGTTTATCTGGCCTGGCCCTAGGAGGAGGTGCACAACACTGCTGCCTACTTGGCTGTCATTTTCAAAACCCTTAAATATATTTATATTTATTTCAGAGAGGAAGGAAAAGATAGAAATGTCAGTGATGAGAATCATTGATTGGCTGCCTCCTGCATTACACTCCCCTTCCCTCCCCCCCCCCCCCCACCACTGGGGATTGAGTACACAACCCAGGCATGTGCCCTGACTGGGAATTGAATCATGACCTCTTGGTTCATAGGTCGGTGCTCAATTACTGAGCCAAACTGGCCAGGCTCCTTTATAACCTAGGCATGGCCAGTCATACCCCTGGTAAGTCCACAATGAAGACGTGGCCTCCTGAACACCTCAGACTTAGAGCTTCTGAAGGAGAACTCTGAGGCCAGCCCAACTTTCAGGGCCAGAGGTCACTGTTCACACCAGTGGGTGGTTATTTAATGAAACATGGACATTAGGGAGCAAAACAGTTGTATTTAAGTTCTTCCCATTATTAATTTAGAATAAAAGTGATATATAACATTCCAAAAATGACTGAAACTTTGGAATTGGAATCAGATGAATATAGGATTCAAATCCTGGCTCTGCCACATGTAGCCTTGGGCTCCCTGAATCTCAGTTTCTTCAACTGTATGTGAGAATGAAATCATGCCTGTGAGGTGTACAGCACAGAGCCCAATACATAATAAAGTGATCAATAGGAGCAGCTCTTGTTATTATTAATGTTTTCAACTCAACTAAACCATTTTTGGAAATACCTATGTGTTAAAACTGTCAATCTACATGGGAAAAAAGGTTACTTATTAACAAGTATTGAGAGGCAGTACATTTTTTTGTTCATAGACACTTTGTGTTATAGATACCCTAGAAGGAACTCTGGATAAAACATATTCTCTAAAGATTATACTGGTAAGGAAGAAGGAAACAAATTAATGAGGAAACATTTTATAACCAAAGAAGAAATAAAGATTTGCAAAATTATTCCATCTCACCAGGGATGAAAAAAACTATACATTAAACTATCAGATTTTCTTTCTCCTGTTCCCTTCCCTCTTTCCTATTTCCTTCCTTCCATCCCTCCTTTCCCCCCCCCCCCCCGCCAAATGCACATCAAGGATGAGAAGAATATTATAAATTAGACATACTTAGAAATGGCTAATAGTAATCTAAAGAGGCATGTCTCTCTTTTCCCTTCTTTCCTTTTTTCCTTTTTTCTTTTCCTTCCTTTTTAAATATTTTAATATGGAAAATTTCAAACACAAAAAAATAGGAAAAGTAAGATAATGAACTTCCATGTACTTATCACTCAGCTACAACTTTTATTTTGCTGCTGCTATTGTTTCCCGATTGCCCTATTATAAAATGTTAGAGCATTTTAAAGGAAATTTCCTCTGTTTACAAGGCTATCAAACCTATTAGATTAGGGGCCCACCCTTGTGACTTTATTTAACCTTACTTAACTCCTAAAAGCTCTATCTCCAAACACATTGGGGGTTAGAGTTTCAACATATGAATTTTGGGTGGGCACAATGTAGTCAGAGAAGCCACCTTAGATCCAGGTGTGTGGTTCTCTTTGTTACAGCAGTTCAGCCTATTTCCTACACTTGTACATGTGTGTGTTTACAATAGCTCTACTAAGCAAGAAGAAGAGTATAAAGTGATGGCTTCTAAATGGTCACTCCTGACTGCTACAGGGCGGAAGTGGTGAGTAAACTGAAGATAGAGCAGTGAAGGGAAAGCTATCCCTCAGCATGTCAAGTTTTATGGGCACACCTAACATTCAGGGAACTATGGGAAGCATAACTGTTTCTATTCTGTAAGTAAATGCCTAAAACAGAAAGAATCTTTACAGCAGGTTTCTTAATGATAATGAAGCAGCCCTCCATACAGTTTTCCTTCTTTTCCTCCCCCCTCTCTCCTTGGTGGGATGCTGTGTCCCAGGCAGGCCAGGGAGCAAGGTGAACCGGCACAGTACCAATGGTGCTGGAACATCTTTCCGAGGTTTTATTTTCAGTTCTCCTCTCTGGAATCTGCAGCCAGAGCCAGGTTTCCTTGTGAGAAGGAGGGATCTCCATGGTGACCTTCCTACTGGTAAAACGGCAGTAGGGGGCCCCATCGATTCAAGATGGGAACCTTGGTTGTAGGGTGGTGAGGACAGAGGCAGCCGGGCAGCAGGAGGTAGCCTATGCCTTCCTCTACAGCAGGCTGGAGTTCTGACTCCAGGAGGCACGGGAAGTTGGCATTCTGGTGGCCCCAGTTCGGATCACCCTGGGCCAGGATAAGAGCATGGGGAGATGGGTACATTGAGGGGCAGATGCTGGTGCATTTGTGCTCCTCAGTGCTCATGCGGTCCAATGGAGGGAAGAAGCCGGGCTGTCCCAGGTCTCTGGCATTCATGTAAGGTCTTTTGAAGGCAGGGTATCCATCCTCTAGCTTGGGGTAGAGGCTGGGGGTGAGCTTGTAAAATTCCTTTTCCCTGAGCTGAGTGTCCACCTTCACTTGCTGTGGGAATAAATCATACATGAATGGAGGGCAGAGCAAGATGGAGGACAGGGTGGCTTTCTTGGAAGTATCTAAGACAGAGCACACTTTAGTAAAAAATTTAAATTAGTTCTTAAATGGTGATATAACCAACAGAGGGAAATACTGAAATAATACAAAAGGGTTAATCGTGAAAAGTCTCTTTCTCATCCTCCAATCTCTAGAGGCAACCACTGTCACCAATGGGTTTTTTTGTAACTTTCTAGAAATATCATCTGTACATGTAGACATGTGTGTGTATATACAAGCCCTTGGTTGGTGTATAAACAATGCACATTATAACTGAGTTCTGCACTTCAATTTCACTAAATAATGTATCTCAGAAGTTGTTCCACCTTTGTGTAGACCTTATTTTTAGTGTAGCTACTTCTAGACAGAAAAGAATGTTTTACATGTAACATGAAAGCTGTCCAGAATTTAAAGGACTCCTAAAAATTAATAAGAAAGAGACAATTCAATAGAAAAATGGTCAAAAGACATGAACAGATATTTCACAGAATAATACATATTCATAACAAGTGAAAAGATATTGGGGAAATATTTCAAAGCCACCAAATTGGTAAAATTTTTAAATGTCTTGTATTACCAAGTGCTGGCAAGATTAGAGAGTCACAGGCAAGGCTGCCTCTGCTGGGGAGAAAGCCAATGATGCCACCACTGTGGCAACCAGTGATGTCCCTAGTGGCAACCAGTGTCACTCCAGGGATGGGTGACCTCTCGCATGTGGGGCTGTGCTGTGTCTTCACAGCAGTGTCTGGCGGGAGGAGGCTAACAACAAATAAGAAGCCCAAATCTCTGCCACCAGAAGGGGCAGCCTGTGTGGCATACCGTGCCATGCAGGACATGAAGACATCCACATGTGCAGCAAAAAGCGAAGGTCACAGAAGATGCAACATGACCCAACATAAAGTTCCTGAAGGCAACCTAAACAATTTGTCTAGAAGTACACATACATCCAGCGTAAAATGATTTCTTCTTCAAAACACGTTCACACCGGGACTGGTTTGGCTCAGTGGATAAAGCATCGGCCTGCGGACTGAAGGTTCCTGAGTTCTATTCCGGTCAAAGGCATGTACCTTGGTTGCGGGCACATCCCCAGTGGGGGGTGTGCAAGAGGCAGCTGATCGATGATTCTCTCTCATCGATGTTTCTAACTCTCTGTCCCTCTCAATTCCTCTCTCTGTAAAATCAATAAAATATATTTAAAAACAAAACAAAACAAAAAAACACATTCACACAAAGAAATGACTAGCTCCTCACTCAGCATGGGAGCTATTCTGAAGGTGGACGAGGCTGAGCAGGAGGGTGTAGGGGCCCAGAAGGCCTGTCACTGCATTTGTGTAGCTTTGCCAGTGCTGTCTCACCCATTGGTGTATATTATTTATGCTCTTCTGTGTGCACGGCCCGTATACATTTTCACACACACCTATGCAGAAAAGACCTCTTACTATTAGACCGCCTTGCATGGGAATTGTCCTAAGCAAGAGCCTCCGAAGTCCACATGCATATCAAAATGAAATAAGGATGTCAGCGGGCAGTTGAATGGAAGACAGTGCAGAGCGCGTCTTACCTCTTGCGGTGAGATGCTGGAGTACTTGCGCTTCCCATGGTGCTGATAGTCGACCATGTAGGAGCTTTGGTAGATGTCTAAATCCACAGGCACCTGAAGGGCAAGGGCAAGTACAAGCAAGGCGCTAGTGGCTGGCATCGGGAGCTCGGCATGAGCATGATCTGACTTCCGCTGACCTTTCCCACGCACCCTGCCCTCCCCCCCCCCATGCCCTCTTCCTCCAGCCTCACAGCTTTCCTCTCTTCACAGGTGTGTGGCACGCTTACCTCCTGCTGGAGAAACTAGTTGCTCACCTCACCAACTGACAAACTCCTACATATCCTCCAAGACCCAGATTAACTCTCTCCCAGTACATCTCTCCAAGAGTCGGCCTCTCCTCTGCTCACTGCACTGACTTAATGAGTCAGTGTCGTCACTGATTCAGAGTTTCGCAGATGTACCCAGATTGGGCCCTCAGAGCCAGAAGGCACTGCCTCCAGCACGGGTCCCATGCACAGAGACTCTGAGCTGCCGAGAGGAGGCACACCCAGGACGTAGGTAACAAATTCAAAAGCACACATAGTGTTTTCTAATAGAGACGGAGGACAGTTGTGAGGCTCTGTATTCCAGCTAAACAAGAGCATGTGTGGGCCCAACCCTGGTCCCGGTCCCCAGCCCTGAAGTCCTGTGGGGAAGTGGCCTTATACCTGGCACTGGGAGCTCCCTGAACCCATCCTCCCTTGTGTCACACTGGTTAGGACCTAACCGCAGGCATTCCCTGCAGCCCCCAGTCCCAGCACAGTGCTTCACACACCAAAGGTGCCTACTAAACATATACTGAGTAAATAAATGAATGTCCAGAAAACTGTAAACCCTTAGCTTTCCTCTGCCCATTTACAACAACAAATATTCCAGCGGGAGCCCCAGAAGCCAGCCCTTGCCTGGCCTGTTTGCTGCCGACTTTGAGATGGTCAGAGGGGACAGAAACAAAAACCCAGGGCACTCACCTTTAGGGGACACACCACACCGGCCATCACAGATGACCTAGGCACAGACAAGAGAGTTAGCCCTGCTTCTACCACAGGCAGGGAAAACAGCCACTGCTCACATGCTGTGCCAGGCAGACACGGCTTGCCCCACCCTGCACATTATTCAGTCATCGGAGGTTGGCTGGCAGCAGGGATAAAGGAGCTGGTGGACAGGAGCTCTGGGATGAAGAGGCTAAAGCAGGACTGAGAAGGAATTAGAGCTGTGAGAACATCAGGTTCGCCTCTCAGAAGGGCAAGTGCAGCCTGGTCATGTTTAACAGTTGCTCTGGGGACAAGTAAGCCCGGTTTACAGCACTGGCCAGTTTCTGTGGGCACGTGCTCCACCGTGGCCATGTTGAGCCCTCAGCACGTCATCACTGATGCGGAGTTTTGCAGATGTACCCAGATTGGGCCCTCAGAGCCAGAAGACACTGCCTCCAGCACAGGTCCCATGCACAGAGGCTCTGAGCTGCTGAAAGGAGGCACACCCAGGACGTAGGCAGCCAATTCAGAAGCACACATCGTGTTTTCTAATAGAGACAGGAGGACAGTTGTGAGGCTCTGTATTCCAGCTAAACAAGAGCATGTGTGGGCCCAGCCCTGGCCCTGGTCTCCAGCCCTGAAGTCCTGTGGGGAGGAGGCCTTATACCCGGCACTGGGAGCTCCCTGAACCCACCCTCGCTTGTGTCGTGGACGCGAGGTTCTCGATTGGTCCTCCACTTCATTCTGTTCTCAAGGAGCCCTGTCCTGCCTGCACCCCACTCCACTCAGAGGGCTCTGGTTGCCAGGCCTCACTTGGCTCCTTGCCCCTACTTTTTGTGTATTGACAGCTCCCCTCTTGGGGCTGGGACCAACCCCTGTGGGGTCTTGCTGCCAGGGGCGAGCGATGCTGCTCCTGCCCTGCTGACTGCAGGGGCTCACTGCATGGAAAGGCTCCGCCCATGGCCGTGCTGTCTTTGAGATGAACCCTGACCTACATGATGTAGGCTGTTTGGGTCACAGATCCTGGGCATTGTGTTGAGGTGACTGGCCAACCTCCTGCATGTCAGTGCCCCCTGCCCCTGGCCACCTTGCCTCACAGTGAGCCATTGGAATCCAGCACACCTGAGCCACCATGAACCTGGCAGCTTCAGGAGGGACCCAGGAGAGCTTTCCAGCAGCTGAAGAATCAGTCTATTTCTGGGAGAGGGGGACAAACAGACCCCCAAGAGAATTATGGCATCAGACTGTGTGTGATTCGATCTGTCTGATACCATCACCAGTCCAGGCCTCTGTTGCCTGGAAGGACAGCTTATCCCATTTCCATTCTTCAAAACTCCACCCTCTTTCATACTCGTTGGGAATATTGGCCAGAAGGTGGAGTAATTGGAACCCTTGAAATTGGGACCAGCATTGCTAGTGGGAATGTAAAATGGTGCAACAGTTGTGGAAAACAGCATGGCAGTACCTTAAAAAGTTAACAGTTACTGATTAATCTAGCTATTCCACTTTAGTACATACCCAAAAGGACTGAAAGCAGGGGCTTAAAAAGATGCATGCACACCTGTGCACATAACAGCATCACTCACAACAGCCAAAAGGTGGAAGCACCCACGTGTCCATCCACGGATGAACAGATAAGATGGCACAGACAATAGAACATTTTTCAGCCTTAAAAAGTCCTGACACATTTTACAACATAGACAAACCATGAAAAACATTATTCTAAGTGAAGTAAGTCAACCATAAAGGACAAATATTGTCTGATTTCACTTAGAGGAGGTACCAAGTTCATCAAATTGATAGAGACAGGATGTAGGCTGGTGGTTATAGGCACTGAGGTGAGGGGGGAATGGAGAGTTAGTGTTTAATGAAAATGGAGTTTCAATTTGAGAAGAAAAGTTCTGGAAAAGGATGGTGCTGATGCTTGCACAACATTATAAATGTACTTGATGCCAATAAACTGTACATTTAAAAATTGTTAAAATGAGTCCCAACTGTGTGCCTCGGTTGGTTGGAGCATCATCTCACATACTTAAAGGTTGTGGGTTTGGTTCCGATCAGGGCACATACCCAGGTTGTAGATTCAATCATTGGTCAAGGCATGTGTGCTAGGCAACCAATTGATGTTCTTTCTCACATCGATGTTTCTCTCTCTCCTATAATTGGGGACAAGTATATTATATAAATAATCACACAAATGATTCTTTAATTATGATTGTGACAAGTGCCATGAAGGACGTATATAGGATGTGGGGACCTGATCCACTCCTGGGCCTCATCTGGGAGGACTTGCCTCAAGCAGGAACATTTTCACTCAGTCCTAAACAGGAAAGAGCATTCTTGGGGCTGTGTGGCTGCTGCTGGGCTGGAGGGAGGCTGGTCTTGGGTGGGTGAGAGGCTCCAGCAAAGTGAGGTAGGACAAGGCTGGACAAGGAGCAGGGGCTTCGCCCAGCAGGCTAACTTTGTCCTGAGAATAATGGGATGTACTGGGCGGGTGAAGCAGAAGAATGATGCGTGGGAGGCACTGTATCTCCCCATAGCCCTGTGCTGCCATCCTTTGCCTCCATAGAGAGCGGTCAAGGGCAGCAGGAGGGAAGTCAGGCCAGGGGAGTGAAAGGTCAGGGGTCCAGGTACTCAGGCCTCCTTTGAGTCCCCTGTGCTTGCTGCCTGCGCTGTGGTGGAGTCTCTGCAGAATCTCTTAACTTCTGAATCAACGTGCAATAGTCACCAAATGCCTGCGGGCACTCACTCAGCTGGCCGGCCAGGTGGCACTCTCCTTGAGGCCACAGTGCCCCTGGATTTTCATGGACAATGGGAACACTTTCTATGCTCAGACAACAATGTAGCTTCACACTTTTATAAACTTGCACTGAAACACTGCAAAATGTCACGTAGTACCTATGACTCTTAAGTTTTTACAGCGTGATACAAGTTATTTTCCCAAAGTACAAGACACAGGGGCTCATGGTTCTGGCTGTCTCTTCAGCAGCATGTGAGGGCAGATATTTTCAATGTTTAAAAAGAATGAAAAATAAATAAAAAAGCAAGTCCTGTTTGTTTTTTTAGCTCTAAATTTATACACAAAAGTTAGATTCAAATTCTCTAGGGTAAGATAAACTAAATTGTATAATAGAAACTGATACTAGTGTGTGTGTGTAAAAGCATGGTCTGCGTGATGCAAATGTTGCTAAAAAGCACACAGAAGAAGGTGGTGTGGACAGGGCGAAATGTGGTGTGTCCAAACCCGAGGCTCTCTGCCCCAGGAGGATAGTCACCTCTCAACCTCCCACTTTTTATTGATAAAATAGTTGGCTCAATCCATATTCACAGTTGGATGGGAACACTAAAGGAAGAGAAAAAATATGTACAGTGACCTGGCATATGGCTTGGTATGCTGCAGGAGTTTCATTATTGCAACCTTCATTCATTTGAGAGAGATTCCACTTGGCTTTCTCTGGAGGGAAAGCTAGACCGCCAGTTTCTGTCTATGCAAATTCAGCACGTTAATATTGTTAAATCACAGGAGGAAATTCTTCTCCCAAACCAGAAGCCCTTGAGTTCCTCCAAGTTTATATTAAAGGGATTACAATCCATTTCCTCCCTAATACGCTAATGCGCCATGGGAAGCCCTCAGGCCAGGAATTAAAGCATTTACGCCTTTAATTAGGAGCAACCTCCCCTTAGAGCCTGAAACACAAACAGCGGGTCTACACTACAAAGGCCTCCTCCCAGACCCGGATATTGATCCCTCTCCTGGAGCCAGGAGCCTCCCGGGGGTTTGGGTTTAGCAAGCAGTGCCACCTTTCCCAAAGTGGGTGCCTTCGCCTGGAGGGCCCTCTGCAGAAATAGAAACCCCTTCCCATGGAGAACAAATAAACAAACGCGGCAGCAGAGTTAATGGGAACCAGCCCAGGGTCACAGAGGGCGGGAGGGCCCTGCAAGCTCCTCCTGATGCTGGATTGTCCCACAGCCTCCCTCTCCAGCCTGGCCCTTAGCTTGCAAGTGGAGGTCTGAAAATCAAGACACGTTTGTGCGTCAGGGGTCGTCACAGGGAGGTTTAGCAAACACAGCAGCCATTTTTCCATTTCAGATTCATGGAGAGCAGCTGGCCACACAGGACAGGGTTCCTCCAGCAGCAGCCCAGTGACCTCTGCTTCAGAGAGCCCTGGGTACATACAACACCCAGGTTTCTGCTGCCTTTTCTGTGTCAGAGCTTGGGGAGAAGGACCCAAGCCCTTGGTACCTGTTAACAAGCTTCATTGGCGATTCGTGACTCTTATGCAGGCACAAGAGGGAACTATGGCTGGGCCACCCCAAACTTCACAAAAAGGGTGGGGGGAAGCTACATTCCAGAATCTTCCGGGGACTTGTTCAGACAAGCAGAACCCAGGCTGGGATGGGGGTAGCATGGCAGATGAGCACATTTCATAAGAAATGGTACAAAAGAGCTCATGAAATTGTTAAATTGGGATAAGCACTTGGGGACTTGGCTTCATTGGTTCAACGTGCAAGTATTGGCTGCCTTAGGTGAGCAAGGTGTGATGCTAGGTGTGTGCCTGTGAGTGTGGAAGCAGGAAGGGTGTGTTGGGGTGATTATAAAAGATGAAAAACACAAGGCTCCCGCCATCTAGCACTTTATAAACTGGTGAGGGGAGGAGGGAGGAAGTGCCCGGAGGGGAATGGATAAGCAGATGGGGAGTGCAGCATTGGAGGGCAATGAGGTGCAGAGGGACTGGAGATGCAGTGATGGAATTAAGTCTTCACCTAGGAGCTTCTCTGTGTCCAAACCTGGCCTGTCAGTGAAGGTCCAGCACCCCTGACTCCAGGGGAGTCACTTCCTGCCACTCCCTTTCTCTGACTGCATGACACTCCAGCAGGTAGTTGTCTCTAACTTGATGCCTTTTCCATGTCTGCATTTAGTTATGCATGCTTTACTTTGCCAAAAGATTTTAACTACCTTTGCTCTCCATCTCCAAGAGCCTGCCAGACTAGGCCTGCTGGCCCCTCAATTCTGTTCTTTGGTT